CTTTGATAAACCGGCTCTGTTTCTTAAAAAAATATTCGATTATATCAATGAGTTCTAAACCAACCAAATTCTAAACAATTCCTCAGTGAATTTAAATTGCGACACACGTTTCCATAAAATCGACCATAATGGCAAACTGCGAGTGTTAACTTCTTCTTCATTTTAGGATTTTGCCAATATCTTCTTCTTCTTTTAAATGTTATGGCTCCATCGAAATAATCAATGATTTTGCCGATTTTGATTTTGAAGTAAAAATAACTATGTACGGTAGTTTAATATTATTATAAAAATTATACAAAAAAATGGCGATTTCGCCAATGTCCTGTGAGACTTTTCCAAAAAAAATCTTTGCCAATATCAAGTTTTCCGCTTAGTTTATTTCATGGACGAATTATATTTGTCCTATTCTCTTTCAGCAGTTTTTTTTCCTTATGCCGCATATAACAAGCAAAGGTCAGAGATTATACTGCCTAGACATTTGTTTCTCTTATTTGGATACCACTTTCCACTTAACATCAGGTGGAGTGGAGTCATTTGCCTGTCATGTATAAAAAAAAAAAAAAAAAAATTTAAAATTTTAGTAAAGTGTCAAAATGTCAAAACATAACGATGGAAACGTAACATACAATGTTCACTTCGAAGTATGTGTTTTTGCGTATTTTATCATTTGGTCACTGTATTTTATTATTTAATATTCATGATGCTATTTCTATTTTAAGTTATTCAAAATTAATATAATTAGAATAATACGAATTGACTTACCTTAGCATTAGGTTTCAGAAGGTACCTACCACTCTGACGATAGAAGCGTTTACCTAACAAGTTAACGTGAGTGATTCGTGCTACCGATAGATTCCGTGATATACGAGATAATGAGCTTCTCCTCCGGTGACTCGGCTTAAGATATGCCTAAAATGCCTAACCTTTACCTATGGAAAGTTACTTTTGAAATAGTCACGAGAGTCGTTTTTCCGGGATTTTTGATTTTTTTTTGGTCGCGGGAACGCAGCAAGACTGAAAACCTTGGTGTATCCCCGGACTAGAAGAAAACTTCATTATAGTTGGCTTCTTAAAATGCCTTCGTTTTCTTCTTCTGCTATTCGTGTCGACGTCATGCACATACATTGAAGAATACGAAATAAACAACAGCTTACGTTCATTAAAACGTGGGGCGCACTATAAGTTTCCGGAATGAATAAGAAAAAAATAGTATAAATGGTCAGAAATGAATTTATTGTTTCTCAAAATATTCTCCGTTAGCGATAATGCACTTTTTCATACGAATGAACCAATTTTGGAAACATTTATGCCACTCCTCCGTGACAATCTCTGAAACATATTTTTCATACTCTTTCAGCCTATTAAGGTGATGAAAATCGTTGACCGCGTAACTGTTCTTAATTTTTGGAAATAAATAAAAGAAACACGGTGCCACGTCGGGAAAAGTCTCGACGTGGCCTTATAAGTCATCCCGCGTAAAGACGCGGGATGACTCAATAAGGTCAACGTTGTTCTCCTTAAAAAATTCATTTGTCTGTCTGGCTGTGTGAGAACTGGCATTATCGTGGTGCAAGATGATACGGCATTTACAGTTATTTTTACGTCGTTTGTCAATAACTTCCGACAAACAAATGGCCGTGTACCAATCATTATTCACGGCACAACGATTCTCCAAAGCAACAGTCGCCACGTGTCCAGATTTATTAAAAAAAGAAACAATCATCCGCTTAGAGGCACTTTGCACGCGCGCCACTTTGGTTGGTTTCGGCTCATCTTGAAAGACCCATACACTCGATTGCTGCTTTGCAACTAGAAATCCATATTTCGTCACCTGTTACTATGTCCCACGCCAAATTTGACTTCTTCTTCTTCGAAAGTTGAATCTGTTAAGCATGGTATTGCACCAAGTGAAGCGATTCGTTTTTTGAGCCTCAGTCGAACTGTGTGAGATCCACCCAGAGCACAGCTTTTTCACACCCAAATGTTTGTGTAGAATTAATTGTATTTGACTCATGCCTATGTCTAAACATGCCCGAATGTCATAGTAAGTCACATGCCTGTCTGTTTGGATCATACGGCGTACAACATCGGTGTTTTTGTTGTTTACAGCAGTGAACGGGCGACCATCACGAAATTCGTCACTGAGATTCACACGACCGCGTTTAAATTCTGGTAACCAGCTATAAATAGTCGTCTTGCATGGTGCTTCATCGCCAAAAGCAGTGAAGCCAAGCGAAGCTCCGCTGTGCTGTTACATTACACTTAAAATAGTAGAAAATCATACTAAGAAAATTTTCACGAGTTAAATCCATGGTGATGTAGATAACCAAGTTCTAAAATGACGTCACAATGTAAAAACAAGTGACAGTCAGATGAAACAAACTCTATTCTATAGCCAAAGAGTCCCATTTTCTAATGTTGTAATTACTTTTTAAATATTGTTAATGTAAGTGGCCAGTTCCGGAAACTTATAGTGCGCCCTATGTGGAATGGTTTGAAGAAAATAATTAATAAATAAAAGAAAAACACAAACATCAGAGAGACAAATTTATAATGTCTTCTTACAAATACTTATAATAAAAAATGTTAAATATTAATTCGAAACATACATTTTCTGTGTTACATTATGTTTCTTCAAGCATTTCAAGTTTCAGAAAACTAAACTTTATCTACAGCACAAATACAGCGGAATTGCAAAAATGAATAATTTAATCATAAAGGCAACGGAATTTCGCCTACGCTTGTGAGAATTCGTGAGAATTAAAACATAATCATGCGGAAACGTGAATTTGTAGAAAACGTGCTCGGGGCTCGCATCTAGTGAACGAGCTGGCTACATTTCCGCTCCTAGCGAATGAATGAATGAAAGGTAACGAGCAAACCTGCTTCCGTTGCGAAAAAACTAATGACAATAAAAATGGGGCCGAGTCCAGTTTTTATGGCTTAGTTTGGTTTCTTTAATTTAATAATGTTATATTGCGTATTGCGTCATGTATGTGGCAAGAAATAGAGTTAGTTCGACAGTATGCCAATAATGGCGTTGACCGTTTTTTTTGCTATTGTGGTTGAACAAATAATGAACGTCTCAATAGACATTGGCTGTGTACAGCGCCTTCACAGGGAGTGGTTCCCGACGAAGTTATTTAGCTTCCAAGCTGTGTAGGTACGTATACCTACCTGGACCACCTGTTTCATCTTCTGTAGAAGTACAAACTACGTTTATGCCTTCATCACGTATGGAACTTCATTGTCGGAGCTAACACTTTACCGTCTCCCTGAAATCCGTTACAAAGTTAAAAATTATAAAAAAAAATCTCTAAATATGAAATGTACCAAATTTTTCAGCAGGGAAACTAGCATAAAAACAAACTACTAAACACCACTCCATAAAAAAAAATTAACAAATTTATTCAAGTCTATTCATGTACTAGAAATACTGTTACCTACCTACTATTCCACGTAGGTCGTGGTTTGTTTAATTAGTTTAATTCCCGGCTTAGGTAAGCTTTTAAAAATTCTGTGAATGCAGTTAATCATATTAAGAATAAAAAAGATGTTTTCTATAAGTAAAATTTGCTGTCTCGAACATTTAAGGTCCATTCTGTATAGATTTTAAAGCTTTCGATTGTTAAACAACTTGTTTTATCTAAAAAAGAATAAAAATGATAACTTTGGCCACAACCTGGCCTGTTTTGTTAAGCGATGCGATAACCAACGATGGTTCGCGTTTATCTAAAACATACCTTTTCGCTCTAGGCCCCATTCAAGGCCCCAAATTGTATTTTGGAGAAACACAGATTATTCCATTCTTTGACTGGGTGGGTTGTTCCGGATTAACAAGACTTTTTTCTCCTTTTTTGATACCAAATGACGGGACGAACAAGACGTGCGCCTGATGGTAAGCGACACACGTGTCCATAGCAGTTGTAGTGCTACTTAGAACTATAAATTGTTGTGGACAAAAAAAAGCTGTGGACAGGCGTGTAACTTACCACTCCTGTCACTGGATATTATTAAAAAAAAATTACCCGCGAAATCGTCACGTCATCTGGCCAGAGGGCGTCCCTCATTACGTTTGCCGAGCCATGGTCTCCACTGAAGAACTCACTTCCCCCATCGGTCACTTCCCCCACTGCCACTTCAGCTTGCTTATTCTACCAGATATGTCGACGAACTTCGGTTGACCTTGATCCGTACCTTGTCCTTCAGAGAAACTCTGAGCAAAGCTCGTTCGTACATAAAGTTTTTTTATGACCAGCTCTAGCGGATTCGGTATCAATAAGTGTGGTGACTCCCTTGCAGGTATATGAACTCACAGAAATGTACACTGGACAGCGGATCAAATTACTACACGTTGACCTTGAGCGCTTCGAGTGTTGACCATAGACAATGGAACGAATGAGACAAAATATCATTTTCACTTTGTTACGGCTCAGGCGGTGCGCCAATCCTTTAAATATAAGTCCCATCTGACATTGGTAAATTACAATAAACTTTAAACAAGCTTTCAATAATTTTCATTCTGCGCCCAGAGAGGTTGCTGTCACTTCGAAGATAATAATCAAAATTAAATTTAAACTTAACACCCCAAAGCCTACTTTTAAAGATAATGTTATTTTTAAAATCCATCCTACATTCACGAAAAAACGCTGACGTCTGAAACACAGATAAAAAATTATTACGTTCAGAAACAGATGTCTGTTGCAAGCTTAATATTGTTAATGTCAAATTTGTCTGAAATTTATAAAATAAATAAAAAAGTAATAATAATCCACCAATATTGACAATGGTGACTTTCTTTCTAAAACTGTATCACAGTATTGTAGTACAATGGGTAACCTGACGTGCAGACTTGTGTACAAAGGTGTATATTACAATTTCAACGTATATGCGCTTTATACATTTTTAAGACGCTCGTTATTTTTTGTTAAACTAAATATTATTTGGTCGACCTGTAAGTAGTGATATTAAGTATATATATTTGTTGTTTTTGTCGGCAGCTCAATCGTGTATGGACGCAAAGCAAGTACTCCACAACGGTCACTGCTACCTTTTCTCCGGATATCCGAAGGCATCTTGGGCGACTGCCAAGCAGGTATCTTTATTACGTAGTCCAGTAATGTATTCACGCTCCGCAGTAAAACATGAAACCCTTTCACAAATTAGTTTCGGAAAATTTCACAAATGTTGCAACACTTTAAATACAATGTCAACAAGGGAAATACTTGTGGTAAGTAATCGTGGTTTCACAAGCGGCAACAATGTAACAGGCAAATTGAAGACGTCACTTTTTAAATGAAATCAATACAACGCAAATTTAGCTCGTTACTTTTATATTGAAATCGTTATTTTTTAATTAAAATCGTTACGTTTTATATAACCGCTCACGCGATGCGCTCCTCCTACCGCAAAATGGCGGCTATTTGGTTTCGCAAATTAGAAAAGCATTCAGTTTAAATACAAGTTTTCATAAGTAAAAATTATTATTCTGCATTGCTAAATAAATACCCTCCGTACTACCAATAAAAACATCTCAAATAAAATGCAGTAATACACCGCAAATCCTGCACTTAAAAAGCACTATTGAAATTTTTGGTGTACTTGGATAAATATGATAATATTCCGTTTGAGTGGTTCTAACGTTTACCACGAAATTACTCCTTAAAGTATAGTTTATAAACATTTATATTCAGGGTAAACTTAAAAAACGCTACTTACGGTATGTTTTCAATAAATAAACACCGAAGTCACCAGCCCAAACAATAACACACACGATTGTCGTGACGTATTTTTGATGTTGTTTATTTTTTTAAATGACAGACCCAGGCATTAAAAACTTTATGGTTTGCTAGAGTAGTTACCGAAATAGCAATTAATATTAGTTTTTTTACCTGTTATAACTTCGATATCCGATTAATCGGTATAAAATCATCACCGGCACCTCTAGGTGTGGTGTGCGTGTATGGTATGGTATGCGTGGCTGATGTATCGCGTGAGCGGTTAAATTACCGAGAGAACGATTAATTCTTAATTTATGTAATTTTTTTTAATTATTTTGTCACTTTCTTCAAAATGGTGTATTAAGAGCTGCGTCATTTTATTATTCATAATGCAATATGAGGTTAAATGGTACGTAGAAACACAGAAAGTGTACTAAATTATCGGTTCTCAGTTTTTATTTATATATATCAACAAGCAAATTAAAAGTTCAAAAAGAAAAGAATAAAAGCCCATTTAAGTTCTGTACAAAAGTGCTCAGTCAAGTGAACAAGGAAATTTATATAACAAAAATAACAATAAGTTACCGCAAACATTCATCATAAATCTTTGGCAATGTTAATCAATTTTGAATCAAGTTTAAAGTTAACAAGTTGAATGTTGGATTTCTTACTAAAGTAGGTCGTTTTTTACATGACTTGCATATGTAGAAGTAGAAGTAGGTAATTGAATTAAATGTACATACATACTATGTGGGCCGGAATGGATTTGCCATAAAACTATGCTGCTTTACTACGAGCTAATTTTAAACAAAAAACTATTTTTTTAAACGTTATATTGTCTGTGGTCGTTTCAAAAATATTATTCTAGCGCGCATTTTAAGAATGGGCGGGAAAATTTTCTGGCTAATCGCAAAGGTGTCATTTATTTCATTTTATTGTGTGTGTTATGGTCGTTCACCGTATTCGCTCTAGATTTTCACTTGTTTTGGTTTTTATAAAAATGTTTTATGAACCGAATGGCGCTTAGAGCTGTATTTTATAAGTAAAGACCGGATTTTTTATGAAAGATGAATGCTAAAATTACCCAAAAGATTGTATATCGTCGTAGAATGTAAATACCTTAGAATAATAACGCATAGAAACCTAGTCCGCACACGCTAAGTGAGGCAAATCGAAGCGCTCCCAATGGGTCTACACGAGCGGGCGGGACTTCAAGCTCAAGGTCAACTTGCACCGCGAACAGCTCAAGAATTTTAGCTAAAAATGACGAAATGTGCGGTAAATGAGTGCAAAAATACGTCAGACAAACATAAAATAGATACTAACATCACATTCCACAAGGAAGTAACGCGTTTCCCTAATTAACCTACTACTAAAACTAGCCCACATGAATTTGATTTTTGCCTCACTTGTGACATGCTTGTGACAGTTCGTTTGATATGAAACTATCATTCTATGCGTTATTATTCTAAGGTAGATAACATAATTGATTACTTTGATTTTTTTTCAAATGTTTTTGGTTTCAATTTTGATACTACACAGACTCAATATGTCGCCCTGAAAAACTTACCTGAAATTAGTTTTAACAAAAGAAAAAAATGGCGGGTTTTTGTAGATACAGCTTTTCACAAATAATAAAAAAAAAATTATTAAAAAATAAATAAATAAATAAATAAAATAATAATAAAAATAATAATAAATAAATAATAATAATAAATAATTTTGTCACTGAACGATTCTTGAGCAAATACTAGCTAGCTTCTCTAGTAATTAAGGCAATGTAACGACGTCTCATAGTCGTGATACTTCTGTACAGAAGTGCAATGATTTGTCCAAACCGTTCACTACAACGCCCAATAAAAAACAACCGCGTATTAAAGCTTCAAATGTTCATGTTGCATAATAGTGTCACTCCAGTGAGCCGGGAAGCAGTCGCTGTTCAGAAAATCGCTATACAACGGCATGGAGCAATCAACGTACAATAGAATGGATAATTAAAGAGAACGCGACGATGGGACGCGACGACTCTGAACTGGAGTATAACAAGTTATTGAAAAGTTCCGCCAATTTTTACAGATTTCTGTTTGCAAATTGGATTTTTTTTTCTTTTTTTTTTGCATTTTTAGAGTGGTTACACACGGCGACTTTTGGCAGCGATGCAAACGCGCGTTCGTGAAACTCGCGATTGCATCGCTACACTTGCGATTTTTGCGATTGCGCTGTTAGCTGCATATCTTAAATTTTTAAAGACATATAATTTTTCTAACTCTAGAAGTAAGCGCTACAATAAGGTGTTTGAAATATATGATGTTTGTAATAAAACCGCACACATTTTTTGGCAAACTAATTACAGCCCACAGAGTATGATCGTGCGTCTAACTCAGTTACCTACTTCTAAAATAACAGATACGGCAGTCTTCAGTCGGCAGGTTAAGGTTAGAAGTGACTTGTGATATTGGCCATGTATCACAAGATGGTGGATTATTAGGTGATGTAAAAAACGACCTAGTTAGGAAGAAATTCAACGTCCAACTTATTACAAACGCGCGATTGCATCGATACAAACGCGCGATTGCATCGCTGCAATCGCCTATAAAATTGGAAAATTCTTGTTGTCTTGAACAGAAAATCTAGGAACTTCTGATCCCTGATAAATCCCAAGTGTAGCGGTGCAATCGCGCATTTGTATCGATGCAGTCGCGCGCTTGCATCGCGTTTGCGTCGATGCTTAAATTCGCGCGCGTGTGTAAAGGTATACGATTAGCGACTGCGTTGCTACTGCATCGCATATACATTGCGTTTGCGTCGTTACATCGCTACTAAAAATCGCCGTGTGTAATAACTCTTATCCACAAATAAATAATGAATACCTTTGCCTTTCCGTGTTTTCAACTTATAAATAACATTTTTGAAAAACTTAGACTCAATTTACATTGCATCGTAATAATCCCGTTTCTTTTTTAATTAACCTGTTACAGTGTGGCCAACATACGACAGGTTTGAACGTAGCCAAGATACTGTAAAATATAATTGGATAGTTTTAATCTAGGTTGGTTGTATAAATTAAGCATTACGGAGCGACATTACCAATTACTTACAAAACTTAAATTTAGATTAAAAAAGAAACACAAATTAACCTATTGTGTCCCTGGTGGACAGAGGTCTCCCTTAAAATATTCCACTACTCCCTATCTTAGGCGATCTCCCACCACTCCCGCTCAAACCCATCAAGATCGTCCCGCCAACGCCTTCTCGGCCTTTCCCGCCATTACCTTCCATCCTTGGGCACCCAAGAACAGACGACGTTCGCCCGCTTCTCGGGTTGCATCCGGCTAACGTAGCCCGCCCAATTTGACATAAAATTCATTAAACTATGGTTACAAAACTTTGCTTCCATTCCCTTCCGCGGCAAAGTAAATTGCGCCTTAAAAAATTTTTTTTTTTTTTAAATGTGTGTAATATCGAGTTCTTAGGTTTTCGCAATTGTTACACATAGGAAATGAAACTATTTTTCCGGATTTAAAACGCGTATTTTCAAACAAACCGACGTTTCGGGCCCTTTATAGGTCCCATGGTCACGGTGGACTGAGGTGGTACAGTCTTCAACCAGTTATGTCTAATATTAATGCAAACCACCCTATTTTTTCACTATAGTTACAATAGTTATTAAATAAATACCTTATTTTTAATTTTACAAAGAAAACATTCCAATTTACGCTACATTAAGTTTTACAAGTTATTTTATTGAATGAATTTTTATTAAGTTTAATTTATTATTAATTATTAATAGAAATTAGAATAAACTAAAACATATTAATTAGTACTGCAGTCTTATGTCTGTTTGGGATTTTTCATGAGAGGAAATACTGGATCCCAAACTGGTGGTACGGAGAAACCATCTTCCCTGTTGAAATTAGGATGTTTTTTAATTTCAATGGCCTCTCGCAGCATCCTGGGCAGATAACGGACTTCTTTTGCAAGGACCTGGGGTTTGTCAAACTTCATTGAATGTGTAGGTTTATCCATGACATGCTCGCAGACTGCAGACTTGTTTACGCGACGGTGTTTGACATCAGCTATATGTTCTTTGACGCGGGTACAAATACTTCGCTTTGTTTGTCCAATATAAGAGAGACCGCACTCACAGTCAAGCTTGTAAGGATACAGGATGCAGGAGTTTACAAGCTTGACTGTGAGCAATAAAATAATCTGTAAAATTTAATGTAGCGTAAATTGGAATGTTTTCTTTGTAAAATTAAAAATATGGTATTTAATTAATAACTATTGTAACTATAGTGAAAAAATAGGGTGGTTTGCATTAATATTAGACATAACTGGTTGAAGACTGTACCACCTCAGTCAACCGTGACCATGGGACCTGTAAAGGACCCGAAACGTCGGTTTGTTTGAAAAAACAAATATACGCGATTTAAATCCGGAAAAATAGTTTCATTTCCAATGTGTGTAATGTAATAAAACTTTTTTTTTTCATATCAAATAGAATGTAGGTCAAATAGAATATTGACTGGTGCCAGGAACGTTGTTTTATTTTTCAAATCCATTTTGTGTTCCCCGAAAATGTTACTTTTCGAATTTGATCAGCTTATAATTTAAACATTTTGATGTAAGAAGTTAAATCCTGGAAGTGACGACCTAATTACAAACTTGAAAGTTTTAATGGCTTTAGGTTTCTAAATCATTTGTTTTTATACAAGTCGGATTGTTTCTCAACAGAGGAACAGACACAACAGAGGAATTGAATTAAATCTTAATCACTTCCATAATACCGTTGGGATTTTCTTCCGAAATTTTGGAATTATACGAGCTTGATTACCGTCATGTGGGCTAATATTGTCTGTTACCACGTGCCAATTTACCATAATAATGGAGTGGTTTAATTAACTACTATTTATGTCGTACCAAGATGGAAGTTTGTGTTAGGCTGCGGGCTAACCTTGCTTCTATTAGCAGTTAGTACTCCTTGTGAAAGAGTTCGTCCAGGGAAATACTGCCATCACACCTATTTCTGCCGCCAAGCAGTAATATAAGCAATATAGCGTTCAAAAGTTTAGAATGGCACTGCTTTTTTAAAATTTTTAAATCGTGTTTTTTTCATCTCACAATTTTGAGTTAGGGCAGTCCTTGCTTTCGTGTGTGATATATAAAAAACTTGCATTGCAATGAAGAAGATCGTATATTAATTAATTTATGAGACAATTAGTTATCATATACAAAACTTCAAACTTTCAAACTTCTTCCAGAGCCACATGGTGTCCAGTTTTTTATTCATCCAACCATATTATGACACCAGTTACAAGAACTTTCTTCTTCAGGTTTGCGAAGGACTGAACATGCACCTTTCATCCGTCCACTCTCCTGAAGAAGAACACTTCATTGTGACCAGTATCAGGCAAAGCAGTGACTACAGCGCTGGCTCCATCTACTGGCTAGGTGCTGCTCGACTCCAGAACGAATTCAACTGGGTAGATGGCAGTGCTGTTGAATACCAAGGATGGCCAGCTTATAACGATACTGAGGATTTGAAAGACACTTGCTTGGGAGTTCAGGTATATTATCCATTCCTTCGAGGTGATAATAACATTTGAGGTGACTAGTGGCACATGGCATAGCACTTAATGTGAAAAAGTAGAAGCTCGCTATCAAAACTTAAAGCTCGTAGAGAAACGTGAAGAGGCGCGATTTCGGCACTTTTTATCTAAACGGAAGAGTCTTTTTATTGTTCAACGATATGTATTGTTTAACATTGATCATAAAGTAACCTTTTCAAAAAACCGTAGCGTAATCAAAATTTAGATTCTCTAAGGTGTTTACGTCGAGGTATTAATCTGATCAATTTAGTCAACTCTTGATTGTATGTTGCAGTGGAAAGCATCTCTAGCAGCCGCGCAGCCCAGCGGTTTATACTGGACGATGCACAAGTGCTCGGTAACAGGAGGGTATGTGTGCAAGCGCAGGTTGAACCCGGAACACATCCTCAAGAACAGAACAGTTGAAGGTTCTTCAGGTATTGGAAAATTCTTGTTGTCTTGAACAGAAAATCGATTATGGATTCTTCGATTTTATATTCACTTGGTAACCTGGGTTCTCTTCCCTAGTTTTTCAAGATGCTGATGATAAAATCATCGTTCCAGGTGAACTGTCAAGCCCAAACCACCCGAACATGTACGACAACGATTTGGACTACTGGGTTCATGTGGTGGGTCCTGCTGAAACGAGACTCGTCTTTGTCTTCAATGCCATTGACTTGGAATACCAGAAGGATTGCCTTTACGATTTTGTTGAGGTACTTACGTGATAAGTTTTTAGGAATAGTTGTAGTAAGAGAGCGTTGCGATATAAAAGATGGCTTAGTAACCAGGATAGAGGGAGAGATGCTTCGATGGTTTAGTCATGTAGAAAGAATGAATGTTGGTAGATTGACGACACAAATGTAAAGAGCGAATTTGGGTGGAGGCGTGGGGAGAGGTAGACCTCGGTGTACATATCTGAATAAGATTAGGGATATCATTAAAAAACCTGGTTAAAAGTACAAAGAACATCATGTATGAAACCACTGATGGGAGTGGAGGAAGTGAAGGAGGTTTGTCAGGAGCGTGGCAAATGAAGGTTCAAGGGGTCTGCCTACTTCGAAGCGAGACAGCCGAGATTATGTATATGTATGTAAGTATATGAGGGTTTTACGGTTGCTACACATTAGGAATAAAGATATTTTTGTGATCTATAACGCATATATTTATTTTTTCACAGTAGCCAACGTTTTGAGGTCTTTACAGATCCCGTGATAAAAGCGGACTGTGGTAGTTTAGTTTCATGTCCAATTCTAGTTCAAGAATTAATTTTAACGGCTTATTTTTAATTTATATTCTTACGTGTTAACTAGAGAGTTCACGACCTTAATAAGATCTAGGCTCTGAATAGCTGAACTCTAAAATCGATGGAATATCTAAACCGACTGTTGTGCCAATTTCACGTATATACCAAACAATTTATCAGCAGAATACACACAAAGCCACAGAATAGAAATGCATATAGTTATCCCTTTGATTAATGTATTCAGAGACGTGCCAAACGACTCAATCGCAACAAAGCCAAAACGCTTGGAATGTATCCAAGCACGAAATCCAGCGTTTAACATTCAGAACTACAAGATAAAATTTGATACGGCTGCTCACCTACTTCTGCCCGGGTGATCTAGATAAACACGAAAGGAAAAACGTTATCAAATCATGTCACAAAGAGCTTTAGCTGTTCATAATTATTGATTTTAGTAGAAGAAGAGCACCTCGTGAAAGAGTCCGTCGAGTTCTGCCAACTTAGCTATTTCTGCCACCAAGCAGTAGTGTGAGCATCACTGCGTTTTGATTTTGAAGGGACAGACAGACGCATGGGACTTCTCAACTTATGTCTCAGGGGGACAGGCGCAGTGGTAATGCCCCTCAGATCTTTGCAATTTAAAGCTCTGAGTGGCGCTGCAGCTGTTATGGACAATCGTGTAGCTTACCACCAGGTTCACGACTTGTTCGCCCCGTCATTTGATATTATAAAAAAAAACTTGAATCAGTGTCTGTTGCCTTGCTGGGACCAGCGCTCTTTAGAAAGTGAGCTACAGACCGAATTAGCAGGTCTTACTAATTTTGTTGTTTGTACAGCGGTTGATATAAATCTTTGTTATGGTTTTTTAAACGGCTTTTTTGCCGACAACGCACCTGTGAGAAACTTGTGAAGTTGCTCATTCAGTTTTCTCTTGCGGCTTCCAAAGCCTGTTGAGGGGTGTCGCTGTATCTAATTGCAATATTTATTTATTCATCGTGAAGTTTTAGTACCATGATTTTCATATATTTTTTAAAATACTCCACTGGTTTGTTATTATTATTGATACAAAGATCTAATAGAAATAGAAATCATAGTAGTTGAATATCATGATATTCAGTAAATAAATATATGTATATCTGTAGTTCTAAATTTACTATTAGTTCTACGATGTGCGAAACTGAAGCACACAAAATATTCTGCGTGGGAGTCGATGTACAACTTCGTACGTGTACCTACACTGTGGGAGGTCGCGGTCGTAACGGCGGGGTTCTGGGATTTGGAAGCTGGAGACTTATTTAAAAAAGAGTTGCGTCGTCAACTAACGAACACCACTCTGGATCACTGGTGATTCAGCAGGTGTTCATTGCTGTCCAATGAGGCAACTCTGCCACCATAATGGGTACTTTTGAGTCGCGCAAGATACGGTTTGCTCTTTGTAAACAAACATTTGTTCACATTTGCAATATTTATTTCAAATATCTTTATATTGAAACAATCTGAAAGAACTAAACGGACTAAAACCATATATTCTTGTCATACAAGTCCGCAGAATCTGTGTAACAAAGACACAAATTCATTTAGGGGATAATATAAACGCTTCTATCATAAGATTCCGGTCGATATTAAAAAATTCGCTATTTTCAAGATTTAAAGCCACATTTTATTTCATGAAATTGAGAAACTATCATAATAGTAAAACATCATAATATTCAATAAATAAATATTGCAATTAATACAGCGACATCTCTCGGACGCTTCTTGTAGCTCTAATGGTACCTAGCGGGTAAAGACTTCATAAGTTTCTCACTGGAGGCGCTAGCCGCAAAAAAGCCGATCGAGAAATTCGTAAGATTTGCGGTCCTGTAGCTCGGTTGGTTAAAACCGATAGACACTAATTCGAGTCCAGTCAGATCGAAGAATTTTTTCCTGTTGTTCAATCTCTGTATGAATTATTCCTTTTACTTTATATAAGTTACATTTTCATTACTTTTCTGTAACTCTAGTGCAAGAATGTTAATTTCTGGATAAAGTCGATGAAATTGCCTGAGATGTTTTCATAACGTGTCGAGTCAGAGCAGAGACAAGAAAAAGAGAATGAATTTTACTCTGACCACTCCCATTATGAATTAAATATTGATATTTATATCGCCACCTAGCGTGTTTACTGCTCACCAGTTAATAAGACCCAGTATACCGCGCTGTAGTGTTAAGTAGCGCAGCTCGCCAGGTGTCGCTACTAACAATTTCTATAGACTTATCTCTAAAAGAAACTCTAGGCAGAGCCTAGTTTGTAAATTGCCATACCAGCACGTCTTTGTAGGACAAAGATTCCTATTAACCAATGTAACGGTTAGCATATAAACTTGTTGCAGTTACGAGATATTGTTACAATGAAATCGTCGAGGTACTGCGGAACTGTGGGAGAGACAAGATGGGTGGCGTCGAGCAATAAAGCCATTCTGCATTTTCATTCCGATTATAAGTAAGAACCTTATAATAATAGTTGTCTAATCTATAGTCCCACTGCTAAGCAAAAGCCTCCTCTCGCGATGTGAGGGCTTGGAGTGTAGTTTCCACGCGGGCTTCGGATTGGGAATTTCACACACATAACACATTTTAAGCGGCAGTAGAGCCACGTCAAAAAGAATTTGTCCAGTGAAGTACTGCCTATTTCTATCTTGCTTATTTCTGCCGCCAAGCAATAATGTGAGCATTACTGTATTTCCGTTTTGAAAGGTAAGAGTCCACACGAAGTTACAAGCACATGGCACTTGTTGTTATGTCTCAGGGTGACGGGCGTTGTTGCAGTGCCTCTCAGATCTTTGTGATTTAAAACTCTGAGTGACATTGCACGACTGAGTCGACCCGTCACTTAGTATTATTAAAAAAATATTATGCTGATGTGTACAGGTTTCCTCGCGATGTTTTCCTTCTTCGAAAAACTCATTCCAAGTTAAATTTCGCACATAAATTCCGGAAACTCAAAAGTGCAATCCTGGACTTGAATCTACAATCGTCTGCTTGTTGCGGCTGTTACCAACTAAGAATTAAGCAGCGATGCAAACGCGCGACTGCATCGATACAAACTTGTGATTTATAAGCGATTGCATTGACGCAATCGCGTGCTTATATCGATGCAGTCGAGCGTTTGCATCGATGCAGTCGAGCGTTTGCATCGATGCAATCGCCTATAAATCGCAAGTGTCGCTTAAAATCGCCGTTTGTAACCACTCTTAAAGTGTTACTTTTCTTATTCTCAAAGTCGTGCTTCAGATGATTATTCAAATATATTTATCTTACAGCGTCCAAGGCACGGGGTTTGCCCTAACATGGACTGCGGCGGACCTAGCCGGATGTCCGTCGCAAACATTCACTTCCAAGGAAGGTGTTATACACAGCCCCAACTTTCCTAATTTTCTGCTCCCCAGCTTAGATTGTACCATCGATATTTTAGCTCCAACAGGTAATGACTTTAGTTCTTCAAGTCAGATATAAATCAATAAGTTAAAGAGAATCTTCTGGGAAAACTTATTCCATCGTCGATCTTATCTTTCATAAGTTTTAAACGATTTCATGTTGGATTAAATCTTTCTTCTTTTAACTTCGTATTCCTGTTTAACACAAACAAACATTTCTTAAGATAGCAAGTCTACGGCTGAGATTTATAGAACGAACTTTTACTTCGACTACGAACTCGTGAGTAGAAATGGCCAGCTAAGTTTAATATGGATTTTCCCGTACGGTTCATTTTGCTTGGGTCGAGCAGCAGGGGCTTTATTTCAGAATTTTACTTTTACAAACGAAATTAAAACCATTTAAAAAATTGTGTATTGTATACTGTACGAGTTCTATTTAGTTCAGTTGATATAAACCCTTTGGTATATGTAAATTATTGAATACAGCGGTTTTCTTGTAAAATTTCGTGACAATTTTTTTAGGAATCGTTTTGTCGTATCAGTGTATATCCACAATTTTACTATATATTTTTTCCAAAGTATTAATTCAACGCTTTCATTGTTATGTGGAATCAACCAAAGGCATTTGAGGTTGTATCGAGGCTTAAGCTCTTCGAAATAAAATAATATATATTGTCTTCTTTTGTTCCCGAATAACATTGCAATGGGTAGATGGGTAAAAAAAGAAAAAACAAAAAGAAATATATAAGATAAAGAAAGATATTGTGCTTCGACCGGGGAAAGATACAAATGATAGTGTTGACTAAAAATAAAGTAGGAGATTTTTCAAGTAAATTGAAGTTAAAAGGAACAGTAGCATTACAAGATTTTTATCCACAATGTTCCTAATTTGACTTAAAATCGGTTTAGGGCCTTGTGGTAAGCGAGGAAGAGGAGTAACTTTGTCTAGACTTCATTTTGGACCCAATGTAGGGTCTTTCAGGAAAACGAACTTTGCTACTTAAGTGTCGATAAGATCTAACAAAGTTCGTATTATAAATACGACAAACTTTCTAAGCACACCATTTCGAAAAGGACTCCTTAGCCGCTCACGCGATACATGCAGCCGTAGACGCATACCACACCTAGAGGTGCCGGTGATGACTTTATACGGATATCAAAGTTATAACAGGTAAAAGAACTAATATTAATTGCAATTTCGGTAACTACTCTAGCAAACCATAAAGTTTTTAATGCCTGGGTCTGTCATTTAAAAAAAATAAACAACTTCAAAAATACGTCACGACAATCGTGTGTGTTATTGTTTGGGCTGGTGATTTCGGTGTTTATTTATTGAAAACATACCGTAAGTAGCGTTTTTTAAGTTTACCCTGAATATAAATATTTATAAACTATACTTTAAGGAGTAATTTCATGGTAAACGTTAGAACCACGCAAACGGAATATTATCATATTTATCCAAGTACACCAAAAACTTCATTAGTGCTTTTTAAGTGCAGGATTTGCGGTGAATTACTGCATTTTATTTGAGATGTTTTTGTTGGTAGTGCGGAGGGTATTTATTTAGAAATGCAGAATAATAATTTTTATTTATAAAAACTTATATTTAAACTGAATGCTTTTCTAATTTGCGAAACCAAATAGCCGCCAATTTGCGGTAGGAGGAGCGCATCGCGTGAGCGAATAAACGACTTCAAAAATAGGAATAAATTCTCAATTCGACTGTACTTCTTTTTTTGTGTTTGTTACGTGATTACTCTGACATTTGTGAACCGATTTCAACTATTCTTTTTTTTTTGTTGTCAGTCAGATCAGTAGTGGTCCCATTTAAATTGGAAGACATTATTCCACCTCTAAGAGTACCAAATTAAGGTATAAACCGGTGTATTGGTTTTCACCCAGCATCCGTTAATCGATTTCTATAAAACTTGGCAAATAGATTTAATACCACAAACTTTTGTAGTCGGTTTTTTTTTATAAAAAGGATATAATTGTTCTTGGTTGAAGTAACAGTTCATTTCATAAATCTCATCCAAAGTACCTGCAAGTTACACACAGCCTGAATTTGAATAAAAATAAGTTCTTGAATAACTTCTATTTACTGACTTTCAGGAAAGCGAGTCTTCCTCAATATCAGCATATTCGATTTCGGCTACGGAACATTCGAGAAAGGCGTCCCTTTAAACGTCACCGAAAGCATCCCTGAAGACAACTTCCTCGAGGTTCAGGTCGACCCGCAGACTACGCCCATCCGGCCGTTTCTTACTGCCAGCATATTGACCAACGGGCTCTTCGTATCGCAATCCGAAATGATCAGATTAAGATTTAGGACTGGAGAAAATGTGATTGGCAAAGGTTTTTTGGCATATTTTAAAACAAGTGAGTAGAAAGACGATGTAAAGAATTTCTATATTTTTTCGTTATTGCTAACCATTGACCTACGTTGCTAACTAAAAAGTACACTTAGGATAAAAACACCAAATGAAGCATAATACTTTTCGGGTTTTAATACGGGAAATAATAAAAATAAAAAACGCCTTATAATTTAGGCAAACAAAGTGGTCATTAGAATCATTGCTCGTAACAATATTCAGGCACTGTACTGTACCTGCTTGAATACAAACCGATTGTTACAAGAATAACTTCATGTAGCTGGTTAACACTTGATTACAGTAAGCTTCCTAAACGTAACACACGTGGTAGAGCTCCGGAATGTCCGCTCCGGTCGACTGTCACCTCCGAACTGGCCAGCCGCGCCCCCGCCACGGTCAAAACTGCGCATGCGTCTATTGGCTCCACACTCCCATACGCTGACGGTGGCTATCGCCCAGACTAGACTTGTCGCACCGGATAACAATTCTCCTTGCGGGGAAGGGAATGGGTGGATTGAGGCAAGCGATGATAAATTATTAACAAAAGCGTTAAGAGTTTCGGAAATACCAGAACCTCTGTTACATGTTACGCTATGTTACTTTAACTTATCTCCAGGTAAAGGACAGCTACACAGACAACAACGGCACCCAATGGACTTTGTGTGAAGTGGATAGAAACAAACGGAAGGTACAGCCGACTGCTCCCCTAGTCATCCACTCGTATCTCCACGCGCTTACTATCACCCAGTTCGCTGGAGAGAAAGGAATCAACATGGACGTGTCGTTGCTTGTTAACAAAGGTAGGACGTTACAATTGCAAGAAACCAGTAGGTCCATAAACTGAAACGTTTTGTTCTTGTTTCTTGTCTGTTCTTCTTTTGAAATGTTCAGCTTCTCTTTACGTATAATACAAAACTAGAATCGAAAAAATGGTGTGGTTAATTTACGGATGAAACCGAACTTTGTTGTTTTTAGACCCAGATTACCACAACAAACTGCTGTTACTGCCGGAGGAGACCGGTTTGGAATCATGTTATCCCAACCCGTGTCAGCACGGCGGGCGTTGTGCCTCTGATGACGTTCGGCATTTTTGTCAATGTTCCGGATATTATACGGGTGAGTTGATTTTACACTTGCAAACGGCAAGTTTCCGTCGAAACTTTTCTATTCAGGTTGTTGCCACTCGGTTGTTGTCAATGGGCGTAAGGTACTCGCTAATTATTGCCAAGGTTGCGCCAAATATAGACACAGAAAGTAATGATACCTCGTGCGGGGAGGCTCTTTTCGTGCACTCCCATTTTTTATGATATCTAATGACGGGTCGAACATTCGTCTGTTGACAAGAGCTTTCCTGGCAGGATCACAGTGCTCAGAGCTTTAAACAGAAAAGATTTGAAGGCACTGCCTCTGCTATGTTGTTTCATCAGCACCTTTAACCAATATATTAGGTATGGTGATAGTACTTCCCTAAACCAACTTTTTCACTAGAAGTTCTACTACTATTCAAATCTGCCACTAACTCTTAGTTATTATAGTTTGGAGACACAGATGTTTTTACGGGGGGGTGAAGGAGTTTATCATCTGATTACACAAGTCAAGTTGTTTATCTATTACGTCTTCGTCAATGGAATCAATTCGTAGTTTGTAAAGAATCTGAATGTGGTACTCAGTATTATTATCTATCACTGCTGATTCAGTTTGATCATCTCGGCAAACGTGAGAAAATTGGATAGGAAATTAACCTTGTTATTGCCTTTTTTTCTCGTAATTCTGACAAATTTTGGGTTTTTTTTTGTTTTTTCTGGATAATGCCTTAAACTTTCAATTTTCAACAGTAGCTGTTTCTTGAGATCTTTTAATTTGGGATCTGAAACTGATAAATACACACTGTCTTCAGGTATATTCTGCCTTCTAACCGCTTGCGAGCGTTCACCATGCGTTTTCGGCAACTGTTCCCTGTCGGTACCTGAGGACGCCGATGGAGAAGCCTTTACATGCGTGTGCGCTCGTGGCTGGCGCGGCAAACGCTGCGCAGAAAGAGTGCGACCCTGCTCCTCCAGACCGTGCAACAACAGAGGTGCTTGTATTGAGAAAGATGGGGGTTTTCTTTGTCAGTGCAATCCATCATGGAAAGGAAAGAGGTAATCTACAAAATGTCAAACTCTTAAATTTAAACTTTTAAGCTTTCGTCTCAAAAGATCGAAATATGGACCTGCTAAACAGTTCTTCATGTCTTTACGGGAAACTAAATTTTTTTTACTACTTTAGATACCCATCAGCCCATAAATTTCCTACCAATGTTCTCTGGGAACGGACTATTAGTAATGACAGATATCATTAAATGCCGAATTTTCAACAGATGTGAAATACCAAATCCAAGTCCAAAAATTATCAGTCTGGGTACAAGGATGCTAAATGAACCGTTCTGGCTGGGACTCATAGCGGTATTTGTGGTGCTCGGTGTAATTGGCTTGATCTGGTGTGCCAAGAGACATTTCCCCGAGAAGATTGAGAAACTTCTAGCTGAGGAAGCTGATAGATGTGCCAGGCGTAAGTACCAAGTCAATTATGCCTGTAAATTTTAGATTTACGAAGCAAAACTGACTACCGATAGTTTAATATGTGCTATATAATTTAGGTAAAAGATTTTCTTAGAACCAGGATACTTTCATGAAAAGTAAAGGCAAAGGAATTCAGCCAATGTCGGTAGTCAGTTACACAGCCTAAAGTTGAAAAGAGATGAAACTTGGAGGACAAATCTTTAGGCTCAACCAATTGGAGAATTTAATTTAAAAAAGGCTTTTTTACCAATACTTGGACTTTTTCGTCAGCACACTTTCAATTCAGCTTATCACTGATTTCTGATAAAACACAAGATTTTGAAGCTTTTTTGGAGGAAAGAAATTGTAGGTAGCCACACCGTAGGTAATATATCTTTGCTTTATATTGTCAGATTGTTACTGCATTGTATTTTTGGGTACCTACGCACTGTTTCTGGGATGGTAAGGACGCTAAAAGCGATTTTTATTACTCCAATATATTCTTTATAAGTAATCTACTTGACGACTTGACTTTTTTTTTAAGTCTCAAATTCCTGGAGTGTGCATGATGCAAGATTTATTTTTACTAGATAAATCGCAAAACTTCCCTCTTAAAATCCCGAAGACATTCGGAACACTAGACTGACTGCAAGATTCGAGTTGAAGGATTGGTGTAAGTCTTAAAAGGACTACCAGACGTTCCATTGCGCCTGGACATTCCATTATTATGCTTCGGAAAATATCTTGTTAAGAAAAACTATCGAAAAATTTTAACATCTCTAAGGTTAGGGCTACTACCTGCTGGTAAATGAACAATTTGATTCTTAGCGTCTCGATAATGTAGTTTTCTTTGTGGAATGTTCCGGCATGTGAAAAATCTGGCATTCCTATGTGTACGGGGCTAGCGGTGCGGGCAGGCCGGCAGAGGTACGCCGCCGTGCCGCAGGCGGAACGCTGACCCGCGACGTCGGCGCCCCGCGGCGGGCGCGACTCCAGCACCGGTACGTGCGCGGTCACTAGCACCATGCCACCCTAGTCGGACATCGTCCTCGTCATGCAAACATCTCAGATACCGAGCTCTGGGCACTCCCGATCTTCTGGAAAGGACAGTGACCCGGGACAGGCTAGAGTTCGGGAGCTGTCGTCATGCGGTCGTTAGAGCCGAGCCGGCGGCAGCCAAGGCCGCGCTTCATCGGGTGTTGTCCCTTTCAGCCGCGACGCTGCGCGAGGCGTCGGGCGCGGGTGGGGCGGGGGGCGTGGCGCCGGCGCGCACGCTGCTGACCCGGCTGGGTATCCGCAAGCCGTCGGTGTCCGGCGTCGCGCACCCGAGGGCCGCGCGCACCTTTAGCTTGGACGATCTGTTAAAGCCGCCGCCCGGACGTAAGGAGTGGAGCGAGGGCGAAGGGGCCGCGCACTCCGCAACACCGAAACCGCAACACGATCAGACTCGTACATCCCTCAGATTCGATACCGCCGTAGAGTCACCCCCGCGTAGATTTAGACCGCTAGATGTACCTCACCCCGATAGAGAACCGACTCGCCGGCGCCGATAGACCCGCCGCTAATAGAGATTAGAGTTTAGAAAAGTTTTAGAACTTAGCTGCGATTGTCGCGTCATTGTAGTAGCGAGACATGTGAGATCATCTGATGAAATAAAAGTAAAATAAACTCGAATGAGTCTCTCCGGATTTCTGAAAAACTGAATATTGAATGCGCTAAATATTCACGATACGACAACACTTAATGTCACTAACACAAAATCACTTTTCGTATAACACAACAGATCTGTCAGTATTTTGGAAACCGGCAAGTTATTCTTAGCTAATATTGTTCATCAAACCTATTAGTTCATTGCGTGTTCCATTGAAGCATTTGTTATGAAAGTTGCGGAGCGCGCGGACCGAAGCCAGCACTGAATGTCCCGCTACTGAATGATCGATGTGGAATGCTGTAGACTTTCGGGTCTCTTCAAATTGGGACTTACTATCACTGTTGTGCACCATGACTTGCACAGATATTAAAGCATTTCTTGTAGAGCGCTCCTTCCTACGTTAGCACCTTTTTAGGTCGTCCAACTATTTGTACAGATTTTGTACTGTCATTAATATAAACTATAGACATAATATAATGTTTATGTTGGTACCATTCAAATTACTGCACATATTTTATAAATTTTGAATGTTTAAAACAACAAGTGCATCAACTAGAAATATTTTTGACAGTGCATAATCTATCTGTTTAGCGACTGTTGCTTCCGCATGCTGTCTCAATGAATGTTCTGTGTTTTATGTACACGTACCTAATTACACTACTTCTTATCTCTTCTGTGAACTCTGCAATGTCCATAATATTCCCTTTATTTTGTGTAATAGTTTAATATACTTGACCAGCTGTGTTGTTAATATTAATATTGTATTTCTGTCTAGAAAATTTGTAAAGAAATAACATTAATTACTACCGTAGAAAGAAACAAACTAAAACACAATCTAAAATTGACTTGTTTCCAGTCTACCTTGATAGCACCCTAAAGAGTTGGCTTCCATTAGTTGCACTAAAATTTTTGTAACGAAGGCATGAAGACCTATTTTCGTTTTATTGACTGTCGCTGAAAGAAGATTACGTAGCTTTGTCTTGAACGTCGATGTTGTAGCTTAATTTATACACTTTTAAAATAAAATTATTACATTAGACTTTTGAAACAGGGAGTCCATCACCAAGAAAGAAGAGAAACAATTCAACGCCAACAAGGAAAAATGCAGCTGAAAAGAAGCAGATATTACAACAACTTATAAGTCCCGCTACAGCTAACGATCATTCGAAAAAAATAACCATGGGAGAACTTATTCAGATGTCTGAGAATAGGACGTTAAACACAGTAGAAAGTGCCCCTGCGTTTATAGATTATGGAATGGAAAACAGAGAAACGTCTTTTGCTAGTGAAGCATCGACGCCATCCACATCTCCTTCAATGAGACACATATCAGATCCTAAGTTAGAAAAGAAAGTGACATTTGCCAGGCTTTTGAACAGAGTCTCTGCTGAAATGAGTTCAAGTTCAGATGCTGATATGATGAACACAATTGCCATTCCGATGGCAGTTATCGCTGATAGAGGAATGAGGGCTAAAGCGTCGAGTACACCTCCTTCCCCGGGTGTAGAAATCAGATCGCCGCATAGTACATCGAGTAACCAAGGAAGCGATTCTATGTCTAGTTTAGATTTGAATTTGGCACATGCAGCTTTAAAGAAATATTCGAGGTAAAACTGTCTATTCATTGTAGTATAACATTACGCAATGCTATGATATCTTAGTTAGAAACTTTTAAATAAATGACACCTTTTAAAAAACTATAGAACACATCTAAAAATATTTTTACTTGCTCAGTGGCTTTTAACAACGGTTAATTCATTTCAGAACCCCAAAAATCTCCAGCGCAGATTCAATCCTTGCCATGTTCCGGAATTTTTCGGCGTCATCAGCCGCAATGGCTTCTAGAGCGTCTTCAGGCGGAGTTTCGGCGTCTAGTACTCCGACTGCTTCGTCTCCTCAGGATGACACTGTGGATGGCGACGATATATCATTAGCTTCTTCGCATATACCTTCACTTGCTCCGGACTCACCAATTGCTAGGCCACACAATACAATAGAAATACAGGTTTGTTGTCTGTAATGATAAACATGATTCAATACCAGTCATAGTTTTTATTAATTTGGTATGAGTCTGTATTTATCTGTTTCAGGTCGTAGATCCTCTCAACACACACAAGTCTGTATCATCCGGCGGCAACCTATTGCACCCACCATCAATTCTTCTCGAAGTTCCTAGCGGTATCAACAAGTGCCTTTCTCCCATTCGCGAGCTTCCCACTCCACTTCCGACCCCCTTGCCTACTCCCCTCCCTACGCCTTTGCCTTCGCCTCGGTTGCCCAAGAGAACAGAACAGATTATAAAGAGTGACTCGACAATAACATGCATCTCTCCCAGCGAGGACGAACTTGATGAAATAAGATGCGAATTTAAACCTGAGCGACCAACTTCTGGACTGAGATTAAAAGTAAAATCTCTTACAAAGTTGTTTAAAATAACTTAGAATAAATTTATAACATTAATTTATTTTTTTCAGCTACGTCAACCAGCAACAAGCACAGATACGCCAACACCGTCCACTCTAGTAACGGATTCCCCAAGTCCGAGTTTTACACACAGTCAAGACTCCGAACGAGAAATGTCTTCTCCGTCTCCCAACCCACCTACTTTACTAGTACCCATCTTAACTATTGAACGGCCGTCTCCTGGATCGCCGCCTCCTAGACGTACTCCACCACTTTTAGAACTACATCCACCGCCTCTAATAACTGTTACTTATAATGCTAGCGAAGAATCTGATGAGCCACTGTCGCCACGGCCTCCGCCACCAACAGGCAATATGTGCTATCTAAGTCCATTCTCCATGTCAGCTAGAGGAGAAAGGGCACCTTCAGAATCAAATCTTTCTTCGTCCGGGTACAGTTCCATGGCTAGTCCTGGTCCTTCAAGATGCGGTTCGAGTAATCCTCTATGTCCTTCTGAAATGGAAGATCCTGGATCCGGAGGTGGCGGTAGTGGATTTCAATCAAGAAGAAGGCCGTTAATGAAGACTAACTCAAGTCCTGCCACATCGAACGATGACTCAAATGAAAGAAGACGTGGACGATCAGATTCGGAAACGCTATCAGATGATCCATTATTAGAGTCGAACGACGAGGGTATTGGAACTGATGAAAAAGTAGATGACGTATTACCATCCAGCGCTAAAGAGATGGAAACTTTAGTCGTATTAAAAGAAACGCTAGATATACCCCAAGCGACTTTATGCTCCCCAAGTGGAGTGACCAAGTGTTCTATAGTAAAATGCATTAGTGTAGAGAGAGGCTTAGATGAGAAGGCTTGTTTGAGACCTCCGACCTTACTTTCCGACTGCAGTCGACCGTTGAGTCCCGTTAGCTCACGAAGCGAAAGTCCTATGAGTGACAAGACAGGTTTGGGAAGGTTTTCACCGCAGTTTTATGGTCGGCAGTTACCGTTTACTGATTCTGATGGATTATACGACTTTCCTAGTTCCGATTGTGTAAAAGGAGGTAGTTGTAAGTCGGGAAGCAGTACTCAGAGGAAAGCTGGTAGAAGAAGAGACAGGAGAACGACAAGAACATCGTCTCACGAAGTCGCGGGAACAGCGAAATCCACTCTCCCACATATGCCGCATTCGATGCACAACTTGCTTGAGGTAAGTGAATGTACGATATTAAAAAAAAGCACTTGCCAGAGTAGAAGAACAAAAGGTTTCAAGTTTTGCATCAAACGTTTGTAACTAAGGTGCCAGGCAGTCGCGATGGATCGACTCGTGGTCGTAAATCTGGTCGTCGTCGGTCGCGCTCACAAGCACCCGCGCCGCCATCATCGTCCTCCTCAGAAGATTCCGTGTCTAACGCTTCGGTAGCCTCCGTCGCCTCTGCCAGAGAACTCAGAGTGCCACCGGACTTAGAAATGCAGGTAACAATCGCCTGTTCATTTTGTAACTTTTAACAATACCCGCACCATTCTGCGGCGGACATAGAAGGTACACTGTAGTATACTAAATACAATGCACTGTAAACTAATATTAACACGCTTACATTTTTTTCAGAACATTAAGCTTCCCCTTTGAATTTAATTTTGTAAATCTCACTCAGCTGTAATACTACATTTAAAATAGAAAAATCACAAAGAATTATTGAAAAACATAATAATAGCAGAAAATAAATAATAAAATAGTAATTGTAATAATAACCAAAATTGCATGAATACTACTCATGCGCATCATGAGAAGGAACACAATAAACATATGACACAAACAGCTAAAATTTAAACTACAAATAACAATTAGGTGAAGAAAATAATCAATATACGGAATAATAAATATCATTAAATATTTTGACGACCTCGGTGGCCAAACGCTTTGCACTGTGACGTGAGATGATTAGTGTTCGGTTCCCGGTAAGACTAATTTGGGAAATTTAGTAACAGTAGAGCTCCTTGTGAAAGAGTTCGTCCATGAAAGTACTGCTACTACCTTATTTCTGCCGCCAAGCAGTGAGCATTACTGGGTTCCGTTTTGAAGGGTGCTGGTGAAATTACAGGCACTTAGGACTTGTCTCAAGGTGACAGGCGCAATGGCAATGCCCTTCTATTTAAAACTCTGAGTGGCACTGCAACTGTTATGGACAGGCGTAGTCGCTTACCACCAGAAGCACGATTTGTTCGTTCCATCACTTGGTAAAGTCACGGTCAGCCAGTCATTGCTTCTCAAGCCAGTCACACCAAGCATTTTACATTTAAATGTACATAGGTTATGTATAACTGATACACTTCCATTAATTCTGTATAAAGCACTCGCTTTACTTAATACGTTCATAATCTACGAGCAGCGTAAATCCTGGCATATTATATAGAAAGATGAGCTCTATTTATTCAATATTTCACTACATTTCACCAGAGTGAAAATGCTGTATTCAACATTATATCTAAAAATATGAGATAATTTTCCATATTTTTTGTCACAAACGTCAGGCGTATTTGATGGGTCGTGTTATTAGAAGCCAACTTGACTGATGGCACCGATCTAGTCAGCTTTGAGCACAAGTTGCGAGCGAAATTCTTTCTATATGAATTCGTTTAGTATACCAGTTTCAAATTTGCCTAATAGCTTTTGATTATTATTATTTATTGAGCATTAGCTGCAAAGTATGTCCGATGCGAGCCTGAAGGCTAAGTGTGGGTATATGTAATGGTGCATTCCCTCGGCCCGTAACGTCAAACACGTCTGTCGTTATATGGGCGAGTTCGCGAAAAGGGCGAGTCCGGGTGGCCTCGAGCCGACGCAAGGGCGGCGCGTATTCGAATTTGTATCGAAAGCATAGGCCGCGCGAAGCTTTGAAGTAACCGACCAGCGGCGGATCCGAACAAGCCCGGGCGTGCTCGAGCGGCCTTTTTTCCTCGGCGCGCTTTCAGGCCAAGAGAAGCCGCTTTAACAGCGTCCTGGCGACTTCTACTTCCAAAGTCGCCAAAGCGCTGTATCATAAGATACAAAAATGTATAAAATGTAGATAATTATTAGTATTTATGTATTTATTTGTGTTTTGTGTTTGATTGTTGATAGATTCCTATAGGGGTGGCATATTCTACTAAGAATAAACCCTCTAATAAATAAAGAAAAAAAAATAGCTGTGAAGCTTTTTTTTTTATAATATCAAGTGACGGGACGAACAAGCTATCAGCTTAAAAAGGTAACACCGTTAAATAAACTCAAGCAGCTGCAGCTGTGATTTCATGTCCCAATTAAAAAAAAAACAAAAATATTATATACCAAAATTATCAGGGTCAGCTGTCTGCGTGCGGGGCGCCGAGGTATTTTTCCACTTCGTCCCTCCACCGGTAAATTAGACCGACCAACTGGACGTCTCATGTAAGCCCTTTTCACCGCCCTTTGAGCTGGCACCCTTTCGAGGTGCCCGAGCCAAAAAGACAAATAGTCTTGAGGACTTGATTTCTGCTATGATATTGAATAATTATATTATAAACAAATATTGTAAACCCTCTAATTTTTTTAATATATCTACATATATTTTACGCGACTGCTAGCTATGGCTGTGCACTCACGGTAGAACATGCTGATAGTCCATTCATCACGTACGTGGGGTCGCATCAGTCTAATGCGTGCCTTTGGAAATTTTATACGAGAAAATATAATTTTTCATACGACCCTGTCCTAACATAAAAATGTCGTTGATGACATTTGATATGAACAAAGATCCACCGCACGCAGAAATGGACAAGCGCTAGGGTTCTAGTGCGAGTTTAAATCGCGTTGAAACTTGTAAACGGCCGACGACAAGAGTGGACACTGTTTATAATTTAGTAATTGGAATTTTGTTCAAATTTCATGTTAATATTACAAAATGCGTCTATTTCCTCTTTCAAATCCATGAAAAAGGAAGGTCCTATTGTTTTTTTTTTAGTGGCTAGTACGTGAGAGTCCACATGATTGCGTGGTGAAAATTTAGTGGAATTGCTACTTTTTCGTCTAAAAAAGATTTAGTAGTAGTACAAATCCTTGTGAAGGAGTTTGTCCAAGGAAGTACTAGCACTTTACCCATTTCTTGAGTTTTACTGGTGAAATTACAGACACATGGGACTTTTCAACAATACTTATGTCTCAGAGCGACTGGCGCAGTGGCAGTGCCCCTGAGTGCCCGTCATAAAATAAAAAAAAATTTATTGTATGAAAACTGTAACTAAATATAATAATCCGCCATTTTTTCTTAAAAATTATGTTTTTTTTTTTAAACTTAAATCGCTAGGAACGCCGTTTGTCTGGCCTGTGTCTAGCTTATATTATTATGATTTTGATTCTTATGATTTTTGTAGCCATGTAGTGTTTATTTGTAATTTATTTTCAGTGTGAGCCAACGCGTTTCAGGCAACCGCTTCGGAGACAAAAGTGCCGTAGCTCAGAGGTGATTGTCAATTGCCTGCCAAACACCTTTTGTTACAGGGTTGCTTACGCACCCTTAATGATAAAGTGACCAAACTCGTAACATTTTTAGGAAACAACAAAATAACGGCCTCTTGGTGGTCACACTAGAATGTCATACTGGTGTGACCAAAAAAATTGTTTGTTTTGGTGATCGTATTTAGTCAGCATTAACACCCTATGGGCAAATTTGCTTGACTTATATAATAAAGTACAATCTCGCTCAAAATATAACACAAAGGTTAATTTAATTCATCGAAAAGAATCCGGCGCAAATCTCTTTGATCTCTTTAACGATCACGTATATTTGGTTTTTCAAATATTCATTGGTTTGCTTGCGGCGGAGAACTCTGAAATAACAATAATAATGTCATTGACTTACAAATAAATGGACGACGGGTCTAATACAAAAACCACGAAAAAAATGTCCCAAGTCAACCTGTTCGAAATTTAAATTGTAATGTCATCGCAGTATCGCGCTGTCAGTAGAACAAATGAAGACTAAAGCGGAGTGTCGCGCTCTGTATACGATTTTAGCGCCTTACAAGTGCGGACACTTTTTAGCGCGGACCCGACGTCCATATAATTGTAAGTCAATGAATAATGTGTTAACGTCCCATAGCGTTTATAATACACTACTATTATTATAATAAAAAATCACTCCACAATCCACTTGTACAAGAGACCTGTAAATGGCTCAATAAAATAAATTAGAATAAATTCAAATTCAAATTCAAATACTTTAATTCAGATTTCATCCATATTGGTTAGTATAACAAACAAAAACTTACATACTAGTGTTAGAATATACAAATTCATAAATACGTACTGGGTTTAGGACATACATGTAATTTAGTCCAGTGTTCAAAAAATGAACCCTGGACCTTGCCAGCAACAATAACCACAATGCTATTACCGCTGCCACGAACTCTGCGCATCAAGGATGCCGCTCTTTTTCTCATTATGGCGGCAAATCCGTCTACATGAGCATCGGCGAACATTCCTGACGCGCTACAGAATCGCGACAGCCGCAACAACATCCGGAATATATTATACTATATATAGCTCGATTACCACTGACTGATCTAACTAGATACTGACATAATTGTTCTCCCAGAAGGAGTGCCGGTGGGTAAAAATAATGTACTAGACTCGTAGACGGATCGGTCCCGTGAGTACCAGAAAAATCCGAAATCTTCGAAAAGTGGACTGCATCAGGTAAACGCCTACGCGCGCGGCTAAAGTATAAGACCTACCGGAAAGGTGTTCTTACTAAAAATGGCCGCCACCCTGGTCAGTTTCTACCGGAAGTGAAAAAAATTCGAATTTCGTAAAAACAAGATGGCCGCCATACAAATTGCAGAGCTTTATATCTCGAAAACTACAAGAGGTAGGTGGGGGGTGCTCGACCAAATGTCATAGAGGGCGGCGGGGGTCAACTGCCGGTGACAAATTTTTTTCAAGATGGCCGACTCAAAATGGCGGCCCGAAAAAAAGGTGGTCCAATCCGGCCGAAATTTGGCATGCGGACGCGTATGGGGGCTTAGGTTACAAATCTGCGGTTAGAATTTTGATTCCGCCATTTTCCAATATGGCCGCCATACATGTGAAACTTTCGCCCTTTGGAGTCATTTCTCGCCCAGAAGAAGGGTGGATAGGTACAAGTGATGTAGGAGAGTAATGGTCATATCGGTCATATGAACGTCAAAAACTATTCAACTCCTCGAAATGTGCTCCGCTTCAGGTACTACCCTAGCCGTCCGGCCAAAGTATACGTCCAGGCTCAAAGTGCCCAAACAAATGTTCATACACACCCTGGGCAATTTTTAAGGAAAGTGAAAAAAGTTCAAAATTCGAAAAACAAAATGGCCGCCATACAAATTTTGAAAGCCTCCATCTCGGAAACTATTGGAGATAGGTGACTCGTGTTCGAACTAATATTGTAGAGCACGCCAGAGTCCAACTGACTGTTGAAATATTT